CATGAGCACAATGAATTGTTCCAGAATGAAATTCTTTGCAATGATGTCCATAGCTTGTCATGATCCACACAGTTAAAAGCTTTTGCATAGTCAATATAGCAAAGGTAGACATATTTCTGATATTCTTTGTTTTCAGCCAAGATCCACTTGATGTCAGCAATTATATACCTCTTTACACATCCTCTCATCTGAATCCTGCTTGAACCTCTCTGGCAGTTCCCAGTCAATGTACTGTTGTAGTCATTTAAAAATTATCTTTAGCAAAATTATACTTTCATGTGCTGTTAATGATACTGTGCAGTGATTTTTGCCTTCCATTGGTTCACCTTTCTTTGGAACGGGCACAAATATGGATCTCTTCCAATCAGTTGTCCAGGTAGCTGTTTCCAAATTTTTTGGAATAGATGGGTAAGTGCCACCAATGTTACATCAGTTTGTTGAAATATTTCAATTAATTTTCCATAAATTCCTAGCACCTTTTTCTTTGCTAATGACTTCAATAAACCTTGGACTTCTTACTTCGGTGTCATTGGCTCTTGACCATATGCTACCTCTTGAAATGGTTGAACATCAACAATTTATTTTTGATCCAGTTACTGTTTATATTTCTTACAACTTCTTTTGATGCTTTCTGTATCACTCAATATTTTGCCCAAGGAATCCTTCAATATTGTAAGTCAACGGTTGAATATTTTCTTCCATTCCCTCAGCTTTTAAATGCTGAACATATTTTTCTCTTTTGGTTTTCTAACACCAGATCTTTGCACATTTCGTAAGATATTTGACTTTATCTTCTTGAGCTGCTCTGAAATCTTCTATTCAGCTCTTTTCCTCCTCATTTCTTTCATTTGCTTTAGTATCTCTATGGTGGAGACAAGTTTCAGGGTTTTTTTCTGACATCTGTTTTGTTTTTCTTCATTCTTGTCTTTTTAATGATTTTTTGCTTTCTTCTTGTATAATATTGTTGATGTCATCCCACAACTCTTCGCATTTTCAGTCACTAGTGTCTAATGCATCGAATCTGTTCTTTGGTTATCTCTAAATTCAGGTGGGATATGTTCAAAATCACTCTTGTGGACTTGTTTTAATTTACTTCAATTTCAGCCTGTAGTTGCATATGAGTAATTGATGTCTGCCCCTAGCCTTGATTTGGCTGATGAAATGGAGCTTTTTCACAGTGTCTTATCACAGATGCAGTCAATTTGATTTCTGTGCATTCCATTTGATGAGGTTCTTGTGTACACTCATCTTTTATGTTGTTTACAAAAGGTATTTGCAATGAAGAAACAAAAAGTTCTATCATGTGATCTCCAGCATCATTTCTATCACCAAGACTATATTTTCTAGCTTCTGATCCTTCCTCTTTGTTTCCTACCTCTGCATTCCATTCACTGGTAATTACCAGTTCATCTTGTTTGCATGTTTGACCAACTTCTGAGTGAATGATTTGGTTGATGTTAAGTCATGTAAAGTAAGTTCTGACTCATATAGTTAGTCTGTATAGGGTTTCTGAGGAGTGACTGGTGAACTCAAACTTCCGACCTTACAATTCAAACCGACTTTGAAGTCCAGTGCATTAACCTGTAGCACCACACCAGGACTCCTGAAGAAACTGGTAGAATTCTTTAATTCCATCATATTTGTTTTAGTGATTTGTGGTTAAATTTGAATAATAATGGTATTCACTGTTTTCTGTTGTTGTTGTTGTTGTTTAATGCCATCAAGTGGGTTCTGACCCATAGTGACCACGTATAGTGTTTCCAAGGAGTGGTTGACCTTGCAGTTCAAACCCACCTTGCAGTCAAGAGCTTATTCTACAGCACTGTTTAGATATCATCCTATCATAGACAGAGTTGTACTTCAAGTTCTTGAAGTATTCTTTTTGATGATGAATGTGATGCCACTCCTATTCAGGGTGCCACTCCTGACAGAAAACAAATGAGATATGCAGATGATACTACCTTGCTTGCTGAAAGTGAAGAGGACTTAAAATACTTACTGAAGAAGATGAAAGACTGCATCCTTCATTATGGGTTGCACCTCAATGAAAGAAGACAAAAATCTTCACCACTTTACCAGTATCCTGGTGTGGCATTGTGGGTTAATGTCCTGTCCTGCAAAGTCAGTTTGAACTGCAAGGTCGGTAGTTTAAGCTTACAAGTTGCTCCTCAGAAACACTATACAGGGTTGCTATGAGTTGGAACTGACTCCACAACACTTAAGAACAACATACCAATAAATACCATCAAGGTAAATGGAGAAAGGATGGAAGTTGCCAAGCTTCAATTTGCTCAGATAAATCATCAGCACTCATGGAAGCAGCAGTTAAGAAATCACATAACTTATTGTAATAAGCAAATCTGCTGCATAAGATCATTTTAAAGTGTTCAAAAGCAAAGATGTCCATTTGAGGACTAAGGTGTGCCTGACCCAAGTCATGGTGTTTTCAATAACGAAATATGCATGTAAATATGGACAATGAATAAGGAAGTTTATGGAAGAATTGATGCATTTGAGTTCAGGAGTTGCAGAGAATATGAAAAGTACCATTAACTGTCAAAAGAACAAGCAAATCTGTGTTGGAAGAAGTATAGCCAAAATGCTCCTCAGAAGTCAGGTTGGAGAGGTATGTTCTCTCATACTTTGGACATATTATCAGGATGAACCAGTACCTGGAGAAAGACATTATGTGTGGTAAAGTGGAAGGTCTGTGAAGAGGAGAAGTCCCCAGCAAGATGGATAGACAAAGTGGTAACAGAAATAGACTCAAGCTTGGCAACGATTGTGAGATTGCCACTGAACACGACATTGCTTCATTCTGTTGTGCATCAGGTTATTATGAGTTAATACCAAATAAACAACATCTAACAACAACAATGAAAACTAAGTAAAATAATGCAATGAAAGCACTTGAGGTAATTATTCCTGGTACATTTGAAAATTTAGTAAGCATGCTATTACTACTAGTGTTCCTGCTACTACTACCATTACTATTAGTTTTCCTATTAATTATATGTGTTTATCCAATGCCTATTATGAGTGCATGATACACATTGTACTAAATCCCAGGGACAGAAAAGTAAACAAATTAGAAATTTAATTTCTGCCCTACATGATTTTTTTCTTAGTAGATATGATGATGGTGGGGTGAAGGAATTGAGCAACTGATAAAGTGGGAAATAAAATAAAGGAATTTACTCTTTTTTTTTTTTTAAACAATGATATTCATTTATTAAAGATCAGGGATCACAGACAATATTTTAAAAATCCAAGATCAAAAGGTCTGTAACTGTGTACATTCGAGGATCAAGGGCAGAAAATCCCTTCCTGATGAACACCATTAAGCAAAGGATGTATAACATCCATCACGCATCTGTTTTAGGGACAGCATTTTCTAAAAGGACACACCTGTTTATAAATACACATTGTCATATCAAAAGCTACAGAGAAATAATTGGAGTTAAGTTCCAAAATGTGCTGCTACCTTTCAAGAAGGCCTTCTTGTTACTCTTGGGGTTTTAAGAACACCTTCTTTGTCTTGGTCTTTTTCATGTTTCCATTTTCATCTTCTTCAAAATTGGCACGATCTCTTTTCTTGGCAAACTTTTTTCCAATTGTCCCCACCAGGCTTTCATACCTTCTAGCCATTTCTTCATCGGACACATCAAGTTCCACTGCTTCATCTTCAACTTCTTCAGCTTTGCTCTTAGAGTTCATCTGAACCATTAGTTTCTCAACCTCAGAATTAAATCCTCGGAATGACATTCTTCCGTAGAGAAGGTCTTCGCATAATGAGAAGCTCTGCTCTTCGATTATGAGGCTCTCCTTCTCCTTCAGCTCTGGCAAGTCCAAGAACCAGTGCTCGTCACTGATGATTTTCTTTTCTTCTTCTTCCAGCTGCTTCTTGGTTTCTGAATCTAGGCCTCTTTGCATGAACTTCATGCGCAGCAGGTTCTTGGATAACTTCGGCCTGTGCTCAGCCAAGGAATTTACTCTTATTAGTAGGAAAAGGAAAGAAATGTTCTTCTAATTTTCATCAAGTCTATTCCAACTCATAGCAACCCTGTAGAAGAGAATAGAACTGCCCCATAAGGTTTCACGTATGGAAATATTCACAAGAACATAGTGCAGCATCTATCTCCCACAGAGCAACTAGTGTGTTCGAAATATTGACTTCTGGCTAGAAGCTGAACACATAACCATTGCTCCATCAGCACTTTTCAAATATTGTTTGCTGTTAGGCACCCGTGGCAACTCTGTGTACAACAGAACAAAACACTGCCTGGTTCTGTGCCATCCTCATCAATGTTGTTATGTTTGAAGCCATTGTTAAGCCAGCATGATGTCCTTATTCTGGTACTAGTCCCTCCTGATAATTCATCTAAAGTACATAAGATAAAGACTCACCATCCTCACTTCAATGGATCATTCTTGTTGAATTTCTCCTAACATAGAATTAATTGTTCATTCTTCTGGGATGATATATTTATTATTCCATGTTATATTTAATACTCTTCACCAACACCATAATTGAAAGCATTAATTCTTCTTCAATCTTCCTTAAGAATTATTCATAAGTTATAATTTTACAATGGATGACCAAGGTAGGTTTCATGGAAAAGGAGGCATTTCATTAAAGACCTATTTAAGATAAGAAAGTAAGACCTTCTCCTACATTTTTTGTAGTTTCCTTTTCAAATTATGATCTATAATGAGATTGCATCATATCACTGTTTATTTTGTATTCAGCATGTTGAATGACCATTAACTTCAAAGGCACCTTGTGCCAAAAGGAAACTGCATCAACAGTGCTTTTGTTGTTGATTTTCTATATAAACAGGTTTAAATATTATTTATTCAGTATATAAATAAGTTGTTTTCAGAGACAATCTATAGATATTTTTTGTTTCAAGATTTTCTTTACTTTTGAATCCTTTGGAAACATCTGTTTATTTGAGTGTTTTAAAATTAAGGCTTTTGTTTGTTTGGAACAATTGACTGGTTTTGATGGAGCTAGTCTTTAGTGATATATAATTCCTCCTTTTTTGTGTGTGTGTGTTGGTAAATAATTCATTCATTAGACACTTTTTAATCTGTCTCAAAAGATTATACTCTTTCATACGTCTCTATTATTGATATTCTTTTGTGTTCAAAGTGTTTTTGCAATCCTTCTCTTGAAATTTCTTTAATCTTAATCTAAAAATGTAGCTGATAATACATAAAATCACTGTAAAATGCTGATAAAAATACAGCATTGTTAGAAAACCTAAGATGTAGTTCAGTTAGTAATTGAATTCTATAAAGTATGTGACTAAAATTTATTTTACTAACCTCTATGAGTTTCAGTCTTCTCATTTAATGATAATTAATATAAGAATATTTTGAAGTTTTGAGTTGTTGCTATTTCTTTGTTTCTTCCATTAAAAACAAAAACATGTATTTTACTTTTGACCCCATTACTTTTAGTTACTTTAAATTTTACTTTTTTTTTTTTCCTTGAAGTTTTTCATTGTGAATTGAGGGATAGTTTACATTTGATAACATGAATTTTACACTTATTGTTTCACTGCAGTGTTTACAATAGCCTCTGTGCATCATCATTCAACAGTATTTGCTTCTATTCCCTCTGTTATTTTGTTGTTGTTGTTTGGAGGGTGGATGTACACAAAAACACTCAGGAATATATAATCATTTAAACAACCAAAGGGGACATTCTGCAAGCCTGCTTCCTGGCCACCAGCACACAGCCTTTCTCTTTCCATAAATCTAGAGGTCTCAGATGCTCTATTTCTCCATGTCTCATCTCTGCCTTGATCTCTGGTGTCACTGCTTCTCTGAATCAGATCCAATATTCCGCTCATGTTCTTCTCCCTTGATGGTCCTAGAAGTCTCTGTTCCCAGACTGTAAGATTAACTACTCTCCCCTTTTTGTTACAAAGCTTCTCCCTTTACAGCTGTGACAGTCACAATGAGTCATGATAATAATTAGTCACTATTGAATCCTAAGAATCTTATCACTATCTAATTTTACCAAACCTGTCTAGATAAGATGAAAACTCTTCAGTGGGGAGTCTGCATACTCTGAAACTAAACTCCCTCTTTAAAACTTGCAGGCCAGTCCAGTCACTCCATGCTTTTATAACCCCCCCCCCCCAAATCGTTTTAGGTATCCAGTGTCTAAGTTTCTCATCCCTATCAACCTTGTATACAGAGGTGATATCAATGTCTTTTTCCTGAATGAAATTTTAAGTAGTCCATGAGAACCAATATGACCTTGAGTATATCCCACATAAATAGAGAGACCACTTCAAGAAGAGATTTGAGGGACTTTCAGTTGGTGATGGCAGAGCAGAGTCAGGTAGGACAGGCTCCATGGGGGAAGGGCTGAAAACCCAGAGACGCAGCTCTCATGAAACTGCATCAGATTTCTGGATCTACAATAAGGGTCAGGACATTAGTTTCACACAATCGCCAGCAGAAAAATCACAGTATAAAGGAAAACATTGCATTGTAGAAATTGGTACAGAACTCCCACTATGGCCATCGCGCCTTGGCAAAAGTCACAGGGTGGGACTACAGTGCGACTGGCACAGAGAACTGGCACTAAAAGCAACAAAGCAACATTTGCAAAAGAAGGTGTGGGAGGGATTCTACACATGTTTTTTCTCTCCTCTTCCCTGTTGTGCCTTCTTTGCCCAGCCTTGACACCTTCAGGAGGGTAGGTGTGCACCCCAAAAAAAGTCCAGCGTTGAGATCACAGCTTTCCCATGGCACAGAGAGAAAGAGCTCCATAGGCCCAAGGGCAAATCCTTTGGCTGCTGCTTTTGACTGCCTATGGGTCCCAGCCCTAAAGTTAACTTTTGTGGGACCATTAACCTCTGCCTACACAGAAAGAAAGAATAATAATAATAATAATAATAATAATAATAATAAAGCAGGTTTGGCCAGACTGACAAACCATAGGAACAATTTGTAAAACCCCAACATAAAAAGACAACTATTTCAAGAATTATGCTGTGCACATGAAGATACTTAACTGACCTTCAGAGACAATAATAGTAAACAATCTTTCTCCCATTAACATCTCAATATCTATCTGTGCACCTCTATGGTGGTTAATACAGGAACAGCCTGAGTGAGTGGATATCCGAACCCACTACTGGAGGCTTCTACAGTGCACACACACAATTATATTTTTGTTTCAAAGTGAAGGTTCTTGTCTCTGCTTTTATATTGCTTCTACTTTTTGACTTTCTGATCACACATTTTTCCTGTAGGTGGGAGCTTTTAATCCCTACATTACCCAAGAAGAGACAGCAATTATGGCCATATAGCCAAGCTACAATCATACCCCATAATATTCCACCATGGAGACAAGAGCCAATAACAGCTGCTAAGGATTACATGTGAAAAGGGAAGACTATCTCCTGATTACATCCACCAGGAGACACCCAGTAAGCTTAATAACACAGCAAGAAACATCCATTGAAGCTTTAAAAAAAAAAACATAACTACTGGAAATGACAAACAAAAGATCTCAAACACAACAAATTATCTAAAAATATGTCCAAAAACAGAAAAGAGTAACTGAAACAAAAGTGCTGGAGACAGACAAAGGCTCCCCAGAAGTGGAAGAGCAGGTTTTGGATTTGCCTGAGAAAGAATTCAGAAGAATGATATGGAAACAAATTCAAATGCTCCACAAGGGGTAGAGGAAAACAAGGAAGAATTCAGGAAAGTACTACAAGAGCAATCAAACAAGATTGATACAGTATTGAAAACAATTCAAAACCTGCAAAAAGAGGTCCAGATGATTAATAATAAACTATCAGAAATGGACAATACACTGAAAGGGGAAAGGAACAGAATAGAAGACATGGAAGCCAGAACTAGTGATCTGGAAGACAAATCTTTCAATACTGCTAAGATAGAAGGGAAAACAGAAAAAAGGATAAAAAAAAATCAGAAATGAGTCTAAGATTCATGCTGGATAACATGAAGAGGAACAACTTAAGAATTATTGACATTCCGGAATAGGAAGAATCAGAGAGGTTCACAGAGGAGATAGTTGAAGACTGTCTTAGAGAGAATTTTCCTAAAATCTTGAAAGATGAGAAGATAAACATTCAAGAAGCCAAATGTACTCCAGAAAGGATATACCCCAAAAGAAAGTCACCAAGACATATAATAATCAAGGTCTCCAAAATAAAAAAACAAGGAGAGAATTCTAAAAGCAGCCAGGGAGAAGAGAAGTGTCACTTACAAAGGCAAGCAAATCAGATTAAACTCTGACTATTCAGCACAAACCATGCAGGCAAGAAGGCAATGGGGAGGCATATACAAAACCCTAAAAGAAAATAAACTTCCAGCCAAGAATCACCTATCCACCAAAACTATCAATCAAATATCATGATGCAATCAAAACATTTCAGGATAAACAGAATCTAAGAGATTTTATCAAAAGGAATACAGCACTTCCAAACATCCTAAAGGATGTTCTTTGGACTGAAAACCAACAAGAACAGACAACAACAAGAGATTGACAGGCATGGCAACACCACCTGGAATTTAGTCAACAGGTAGCAGTCCAGAAGAGAGCATAACTACAACCACAAATTCAAAGGAGCTGGGAAGTCAACTGACGTTCAAAATTATATCAGTGTCAAATGAGGGATAAACATAGTAGCAGAGATCCAGGTGGTGAGGATGTCAGGTAGATTACAGGATACAATAGCGTCTCTTAAATGGAGAGAAAAGTTAATAGACTATAAGGTAACCCTAAAGAAAGTTAATACTTCACAACGTACCATGAAAATGAACTTTCAGGCAGAACAAGCAAATATGAAAACTAAGAAGAAACTGACAAGAAACAGCACAAAAAACACAAACTCACCACAAGAAGGCGTGCAGAACAAAGAAACAAACAACACTACCCAAAATTTAACATAATGTCAGCAATAAATTCATACCTATAGATAATTACATTGAATATCA